CACCGCGGCACGAAGCGCGAGCTACGGCGGCAGGCCCCCATCAGCCCGTTACGTAAGTTTCACGAGAGGTAATATTTAATTGATGTGCGTGTATTCAGACAACAAACCAGAAGACTTTTACATACTTGTTCATGTGTTTTACTTTTCCCATAATTATAGATTTATTCTTCGTTACTGAAAGAATAAGGACAGAATACTGGAATGTGATCAATACAGATAGGCATCCTGGTGCATGGGCAACTGGAAGGCAACAGTCAGGTATTCTGTAGATCACGTTTACTTCTCCCACAGATTTATTCTCACCTTGCATGTGCATCTTTCAGAAATCCTTTCTGAAGGATCTTTCAAATCAAACTGGTAATATTCATCAACCTTACCAAATGTCACTCAGCACACATGCATAAAAACATAGTTTCTGATTGTCATTGTAAAGATTCATAATGAATGCAAGGAAATGTTGCTGTTATGACGTTATGAGACATGACACTCCATTCATGCAGTGCTAGATACTCAAGATTCGACTCCACAGCCTCATTTAATGAGTTAAATATATGTTAACACAAAAATAAAGTTATTGAGTTCCTGGAATACACAAATTAGTGGTTACACCTAATCTAAATTGCTCCGTAGAGATAAGCAGTATAACACTTTTTGCATGACAAAAATATGCAAAGAAACCTCAGAACAATAAAACTAAAGAAACTCTCATTTAAATGATCAAAAGCTCACAATTTCACTGTAGACTAGAATCGAGGCTTTAAAAAATACACAGTGCTTCTTCCCTTCATTATTATTCTTTGTCCATTCTATTTTGTGATGGCTGTAAACACATATCTGTACATAAATATAAATGTGCTTGTGTGTGCAGAGTGTGCATATTCCTATTCTGAGCTCGGTCTAGGACAAACGGTGCAATGCGTTTCCATTTCTGTGCATCCGTTAAAACAGACTTCTTATATCACCATGAATTGTCAACGTGCAATACCGAGCTTTTGTCTTTGCAATGACAACAAAATCATTGCTTTGGTGTCAGTTTGGTGTCAGTTTTAATGGTATCCAGGGTCTGGATCAGGTGCTGCTTTTCAAGAGACTGGAGACAAGAACTGGAAGCACCTGGTGAGGGTGCATGTGCATGGGAAGGAGACCCACAACCAACACAGAGCTGTTCAAGGGAAAGGGACAGGAAAACCTCTCCAAAGGTTGGAGAGAGACTGAGTTGAGGAAAGCAGGTGAGTCCTGGCCTGGTAAATCTGAAAGAAAACCACTCTGGCTGTTAATGTACATTCCCAGATGAGACCAGAGGAAATCGAAGTCTAGGAGCCAGCATAAATCCTAGAAGGGGGTTGTGGAAAATCCTTGCTGATGAACCCTGAATATACTATTCCAAACTCGTGTTTTAGAGCTACATACATACTGACAGAGGGCCTGAAGAACAGAGGAGGGAATTTTTCCGTATGTTTTCACCACTTGAATATGATTTGTATATTAATAAGGGGGTCATGAGAGGAAAGGCTTTATTAGGCACCTTTGTTTATGTGAGATATGATATCCCTAGGAGTACAGGAGGAGGGAGGGAAGACAAGTGCTGCTGTGTATCTGAGGAGTGCTAAATCAATGCTGCCACTTGGTATAATGCTTGGAAGAGTTAGGCAGATGATTTGTATTTTATTAAAAAGTAGTTCTCAGTGACTGCAGGCAGTAATCTGGATTGGGGCCAACATGCTGTACTCATATACAAAATTAACAACTGATTTTTCAGAGACAGCCTTCCCATAGGCGGTCGCAATGAAGGAGGGCCTTGGCTTCCACTGACTGGTGACTTCAGGTTTCTGATGACTCTAAAAGGAGAGTGTTACTATATTGAGCCTGGTTCAAATAACAAGATGTGTAGACCCACGGGATGTGCAGGAGGGAGTACGAATGAGAATCAGGTCTCTATCTCATTCCATGTCTTGCAGGCTGTAGACACATACATTCAGCAGTAAATCTCCTTGTGCCCTCCTTCCCCAAATACCATGAAATCCCATAAACCTGATGGCCCAAGACATGATACATCTGCCAGCTTCCCTCTCCCATGCCCAGTCACTATCTCTATGCGGGGGCACAACATACGTCTATGCAGAGACATAAGGCAGATCTCCACAGGCTCTGCTGTGAAGTATCTCCACATGCAGATTCTTCATAGGCAAGAAAACCTCTTACCTTTCACCCTGAGGTAAGTTATTGAGATGTTTCATATTTATACTGTAGTGACATCAGTTCTATCTTTGGGAGTTAGTGCACAAGTACAAAAGGCAACTGGAAAAAAACCCTCACTGGCCAGATAGGATAAGACAGTAAGTGATTTTACCAGCTCTGCAGAACTCGGAACATGGCTGCATTTTCTGATGAAATGATTTGTATTTACCTAGTGACATCCTGAAGCAGAGATATCTTTATCTGATTGTAAGGTTCTCAGCACTTGCAAGGTTTCTATCACGTGCTGGTAGAATAAGGATGCATTTTCTGACCTGACTCTGCAAGTCTCATGAATGCAAAAGTATTCATCATTCAAATACTCATATTTTTTGGAAATTTGACAGAAGTCAGAATCTTTCATGTCATGAAAGTACAGAAAATAAAAGTACAGATGAAGTGTAAAACAGAGGTGTACTATAGGTTATGGTCATACACTAGAGGAATCTATAAAATGACAGTAAAAAGCAACCAGTGCTTCCCTCAGGTCCCCCCCAAATTCTAATGCAGTAGTAAAATGGCGTGTGTCAGTAATAAAAATAAAATGTCTATGACATTTTAAATGTTATCATACTGTCACAGCGGAATAAAATTAGCTTGAAGAATGATCTAAAGGGATATGATGCAGTTCATTATGTATAACAGCAACAGCAGCAGTTTCCCAGTGTTCATAAAGGTTTCTCCATTAAATTTACCTCCAGTCAATAATTAGGAGTCCACAAATAAACCTAGGCAATTAAATCAATACTGCTAGGCAATTATGTTCCAAAGTCCTGGCTCAATGGAACAAAAAGACACTATATCAAACTGTAATATTAAGTGATCTGATGCAATTTTCAACTGAATAATTTCTCAGAATAATGGAAAAGAGCAAGTCTGCATCCTCATTCAAGGTGCAAATGGTTACACAGTTTGCCAGTCTTGTGTCACTGAATCAACAGTCTATTATTTTCAGCAAAGTCTAACAAAAAACGTGCATTTCACAATATGATTTAGCTTTCCAAACATATTACATAATCTGCAACCAACCTTTTAGAGGGCATAGAAATATTACATGAGCTGCTTCCAAAGAGAGCCCTGGAAACCACAGAAATTTCCATCCAGACAATTTAGCATGGACAGAAGCGGAAAGCAGAGCTGGATGCTCCTGAGAAGAACCAATGCCCATTTGTGATTTTAAAGAGGGCTTCTCAAGACCTAAACCCACATCCTTCACTGTCTCTCCATATAAGATGGACGATAATATTCTGCTTAGGATTTTTTAATGATCTGCCAAACTAGAAAAGAAGGAGAGCTCTTATTTATATTCTGTGAATCTGATTCTTCTTCTGGAGTCTGCAATATGTACTGAATCTCACGATTACTACTGAGGTTTTAAAATTTCTTAAAATGAAGGAAATTTCGTGAACAGAATTGCTTGTTTTTACTGCTGTGTTCCATGTAGTACTAACTAAGAGATACTTTAATTACAATGACAGAATTTCTGAGAAAGCCAATAAAAGCAAACTGAATTTTCCATCTCCTTCACTGCAGCAATTAAGCAGTCTTAATGACAGTTAGTTTTGATAACGAGAAAGGAAAAACTGTCATTACTTTCAAATCTGATCATAGGACACCATCTAGACAGAAGACCTATTAATGATAAAATATTTCAATCTGAAAGTGATTGTTCCCTTGAAATGGCTTTCAAAATATTTTCAATCACTCACATTCTTAATAGAATGAACTGCATAGCTAATGAATCCATGCTACTGAATATGCATTAGAAACATTTGATTTATGAAATCAAATTTTATTTCATTTCAGACACCAGCTACATATCATCTGAATAAAGGAGACAACTGAAATATAAAGGAAAAGTTTCAAGAGCCAGTGTGTGTTGTCAGTGATGTCCAAACAAAAGCTGACTATGAATTGATCACTTACAAGAGGGGAGCATCCCAACAGACCATGTGTGTATTAAAAAAAAGACTTGAAAGAGAAGAAAAAGTATCACACAGGTCACAGCGGCAGTCTGAATGGACCCCTCAGGGATTTCTGCTAGTCTCAGCCTTGTCATCCTCTATGCAGCTTTCCTCTCTGCCCAGAAAATGTCGATAGGAAAATGTTTGAGGGGCCTCTGGTGGAAATTTTTTCATTCTTTCTGCATTGACAGGATGCCAAATCAATATTTACTTCCCACTAACAAGCTGCTCGAGGTCTCAGTAGAAAATATTGTAGAGAATGCGGGAAGACACGATAATAAACAGCTGTCTGGCTATGAGGAAAACATGAATTGACTGGAAACAGGTCCACAGAAAAAGGTCACTGAAACCCATGAACTCCTCAGGTGTCCACATCAACTACTAACTTTAAAGGCACATAATAAAAAATGTCTTTTTCCTAAGAGGTATGAGAGAGTGGATTCTTTTCACTCTAGCAAGTATTACAGACTGTCTCAATAATTTAATTAACACATTTGCCAAGATCTGTGCTTTTTTTTTTTCCAGATATTCCTTTCAACTCTATCACAAATCTTAGGTTAACATCTCTTCAGTCCTGTCCAGTGATTTGTAGTCGAAGAGAAATAAAGAAATGCTACAAAACAAGGATCTTATGTTATCTTATCAATATATCGTTAGGATCATCAATGGCAATATAATTACAAAGGTAATGGATTAATTACAACTTAAAAAACACTTAGCTAGTCAGATTAGAAAGCTACAATTCATTAAGCGAAGACAGAAATTTAGTACCTGTGCTTCAAGAAGCTTCTGTATATAGTGCAGCCATTCTTTATCTTTCTCAGATTCCATTTTAGTTTTTGCTGTTTCCTAAAAATAGAAAAATATAAAAGATACACTATTTTGATGCCACCTGGTAAGAACTTAACAAACAATAAAGGACACATAACTATATGTGCATAAAATAAATAGTATGTGGAAGTGGGTAGTATGCTTGGAAAACTATGTCTACAGAATGAGTGTGCTCTGTTAAATTTATAAACCTATCCGCATTTGTGCATGTCCCTAGAAACTTGCAGGGCCTGTTCTTTTCACGTGAATAAATTACTATACTTTTGATGAATGCATCTATGTGCAAATTTCTTAAGTTCATCTTAAAGGTTCCTGGGTCCTCATGCTGATAAATGGATTAAGTATCTAAATTTTATGCACTGCAAATTCACCAACTGTATACTACATTTGTTTCTGTTCATAGTTAATATATGCATGTTTTATACACACATTCACAACACTGATTACAACAAGATTCAGAATATAGAAATTATTTTGACAATAAGGTAAGTATAGAAAAAATCTGGCAAAAAGTCAGTCACTTCAAATGGGTCCATAAATGCTATCAAAAAGGGCAGGCAGGAATTAGACCATGTTGTTAATATTCAGGGCCGTATCTACTTTGTGGATAATATACAGATATATATATAATGCCTTTTCATTTAACAATAGTGAAGAGTACCTTTTGTAATTTCTGCAGTAGCTAAATTTTAAGTTATCACCAGAGTACTGTTCCTGCCAACTAATGGTCAGCTCCTAGACGCGCTTGTTAAACAAAAGGGAATAGCCTTTACCTTGTACTATTCAATCAGGCTTAAATAAAACTGGATATGAAATTCTATTACTGGATTTATTTAATAGATAGTGATTCGATTAAACAATATCAAATATTTCATAGTAAAATCTAAGACAGGATCAATCCAAAAAGAACAATGGGCTCCCCCAGAAAGCACCTGTCTGCTACAAATACCTCTAATAGGTACCACAATTCAAGAAAGTAAGCATGAATAAGTTTGTTTGGCACAACAAAAGCTATCCTAATGTTGTTTTCATTAATGTAAACGTCTACTTAAAAGGTATAATTTTATCAAATGATCTCATGAAAAAAAGGAAAATACTAAGAATTTTCAAATAACAGCTCTGTATCTACATGCTAAAACCAGTATATTTTATTTATGCATACCTGAAGGCTTGAGCCCTTATTAGTTGTTAATCTATCCTTTTTATTTAAACCCATCTGGTCTGTTCTCTTTGTGGTAGATAACGTACACCCAGTTTCCAGTCTCTAACAGGCAATTTTTTGCCCACAAATTAGGTATTTACTCTAGCTCCTGATCAGGCCCTTTTTAAATAAAGATGAAAATAACTTACCTCATCATCTTCTACTTCTAGTATCTCCTCAAGATCAGTTTTTGAAACATTAAGGATGGAGGCTGCCAAGGACTGGGCTCTCTGAACACACTCTTGGGAAAGGCTTTTTTTGCAGTTTTGCACTTCTCCCATTTTTTTTGCCTCTTTAATTTTTGTTCTCAGCTCTTGTATGCTGTGCTGTAACTCTCTGGTTAGAGCCTGGAGGATGCAAGCAGAAAGTACTCAATACAAAAAAAAATGCAGTTTTCTTAAAGTGCAAGACTATGCAAAAATATAACATTATTATGTATAAGCTCCTATAGGTAAGAACTGTCTTTATACATGTTACTGGCTGAATATGACACATTCTATAATAAAATATTTGGAGAACAGAGTATGAATTAATTCCAACTACATTAAATCTATTAAAGCATACAATGTTGTCAACATTTGTATATTTTTTCCATACGCTTTTAACAATATATCAAATTCAAAATGCCATCATTCATGAAACAAAGAAGTTTCCACAGAATGAAGTACAATTTCTTTCCTGACTCAGCCTGCCAAAAACTGTTCTTGAAATAACCTCAAAAATGGCAGTTCTTAATGTAGTCAGAGAGAGATCCTTCTTAATCTTATTTGTGCCTCACTGTATGAAGAAACACCATACAACTCTTTACCTAAAACTGGAAATTTTCATTCTGACCAAGAAAATTATAAATATGCCTGATTATTGATTCCATCTCACGTCCTTTCTACAGTCTATATAACTGCATACACTTTCAGCACACAGGTACACTACATTGTTATTGTGATTCCAGGCTTAAACAGGGACTGTTTTATTTTATATGCTGCTGTCCCATACACAAGGCCCAGCCAAGGCAGGCAGTTTCTTCACTGAGCTGCTGTTAGCAGATTAAGTAAATGTAATTTAGTAGATACAAGCACCGGCTGCTAAAGATGAACATGCAGCAAAACTGATGCATTTGAGTAATGCATCCTTAGCTTGGCCCTGAAGACACCTGCAAGCCATGGGTGCCAAGAGAAGCCTTGATTTTATCTCCGATCCGTCTCTGCTGCTGAAGAACCCTAATTAGCTTCAAGGAAAAACATGATCTTGATATGAGGTCTGATTCTGCTGATGCTGCATTTATAGCACTACTTTTTATTATCATTACTACTATTGCTAGTCACTAATAAATAGTAATAATAATGGAAATTTTTCCAGTGATCAATTCTGTAAGATGGTTTACACTCTGAAGCCAGAAGGACACTCACAGCTTGAAGAAGCAAGTAGAAGCAAAACAGAAGAACGTGGTTAGGAGAAAACTTACTGGTGCAGACTACAAGGCACATCAGTTTTAACATTTTAAGTGATAAGAAAGGTGAAAAGTTACCTGGGGTGGTAAAAAGGGACTACTGGGATTTAGGAACGTTAAAAAAATAGGAAAAGCTAAACACCAAACAAAAAATTGTACTGATAATGAAAGGGAGACTAATAAACCCAACAGAGGTGAGACCACCTCTATCCAAAAGCAGAATAGAAGAAGCAGTAGGAGCCATCCTGTAAAAAATACCTTGCTAACCTGAATGACCTATGAGATTATAAAAGGCTGAGCGGAAGGCTTTCTGTTCTCCAACATAACAAAAATACTTAATACTATCTTCCAAAGCTGTAACTAATTCTCCCATATCTAAAATTACCTGATTTAATTAGGTAACACAATTGATTGATTAGTATAAACCATCAGTTTTATAATTGAAGTTCTTGTTTAAATATTTATGCAAGTTTGACTCAAACATTTTGTAAATGCTGAGCAGGATGATATTTAAAAACATTGATACAGAGATATGAAGAGTAACTCAGTGTCAGAAGTTCTTTCTAGTTTATTCAACTTGCATGAGTCAAAGCAGACCTGCAGCTGTCAATACAGACACCTTGGCTGAGTTTAAAATGAGAGAATAAAGTTTTCTTTTGATCATCACATGTAGGGCTCATTTTATAAATGATCTCTCATCAGTTGCTGATAAATTCCTAAAAATTCTTTCACTGCACAATGACTTCATCTCATGGAAACTGACTGCAGATTTATTAAGCCCATTTATTTGGGGTAAAGTACTTTATGGCCTCTAGTGTATTCAAAACATAGTCATTAAACAGCACTGATGATATATTTAAAAAAAAAATCACAATGCATTCATCTTATTCCAAGATCTATTTATTTTATATGATTTTCCTAATTTAATATTTTGCCATATTTAGCTAAATATTAATTATTTGGAACAAAACTACTCTGACACACATTTGAGGAAAGGAGGTACAACGAATTTAGTCCCGGTTTTTTTAACTCGAGAATGGATCCCACCTTTTGCAGCACTCCCAGCAGAGTATCTTGTACACAGACATTTCTGTGTGTTAGCTAGGAGGAGAAAAGAGACTTGAAACATCATGGGCTGGTAGCTAAGAGAACCTGGATCAAGCTCGCAGAAAGAAACAGAGTAGGAAGATAGAAAACTCTGAATAGAAAAGAATAATGCAAGTCATGAGAGGAAATTAAAACCAGTTAACTTTTGACATGCAAATAGGCACATTACATATAAAATCACAATATATCATTAATATTTTGAATTTAAGGTTCTATTGTTCTTTCCTTCAGCAGTACTAGCACCCTAAAGAATAACCTAAAGCACAGTCTTTTAGCCTATATGAAAAAGCAGACTACCGTACGGACATTCAAGTTGAACACACAAATTAGCTATTTTGGAACATGCTTTCTTCACATTCTTCATTTTTAATTCTTTTTTTTTTTGATAAAAAAATCTTTATTAGTGCCAGCAATATGAGCATTTGATCTTCTCTTTGTTTTTTTTTGTGTGAAATCTACGGGATATTGTGTTGCTAAAGTCATTTTCCCTGCTTAGATGTTGCTGTCAAGATTTATTCCTGTGGGACACACTTAGCTTCTAGCAGCCAAAAAGAATAAGAATCCCTGATTAATTTGTGAAAACTACAATGTATCAGTCCCATTGGTACGGGTTCAACTATAACAAAATAAGCTTAAAATCATAAAAAAGTGAGCTCGAAGTACTCAGTTCTCTTCAGTTGGCAGTAATTGTTGCATTACCTGTAAACTAAATTTGTTTATATAGCTATATCTATATATTATAGCTCTGGGTTGCCCACAGTTCCACAGTCTCTCTTATAAACCCTGTTACTAAATTTTTTTACTACTGATAATATTTACTCTTGAGATATTTTCAATCTTGACATCAGCAAATGAAGACTTTTAAAAAATGTATCTTTTGCCAGTTTTCATATCTATAAAGATGAAGAGTTATTTTGTTTGTTTTGTTTGTTTTGCTTTGTTTTCTCCTTTTGAAGACCATACTTACATAAGCAACTGAAGAGACTGTGGTCATATACAAACCCTGCAGACCCTATTAATACACTATCAATAGGGTTGGTGTTTTAACTTCCCTTATATCTCAGATTGCTTCGCCACTAGCTGGCCTTGAACTTGATCAATTTTGATCAATGGTCCCAAACGCCACTTAGCCAAATGTAACCCAAAAGTTATTCTCATAATGACCATGTTAACACGCACATTCTGCTGTTATTTTTCACAGCACAATAGGGCTTAATGGCCCTATGACAAACCGGACTCCAGCTCTGTAGCTCTCTACAGCAGCGACCTGGCACCAGTGGAGGTCTCACAGCCGAGGCCAAGGCCCATATTACTTTGCACAGTAGGAAAAATGCACAGAACTGTTCTACTCTTTAAATGTCCGCTGTAATAATTAACAACTTGAGCACATCCTTTCTAGGGCAATTACAGTACAAAAGTAACAATGAAAGTTATTTTTGGCCCTAGCTTCTAAAAACGGTCAAATTTCAGACTCTAATCACAGAGGCCTTGTTTTTTGCCAAAGCTACTTTGCCATGTGCATATAAACTGATTCTAGGATTCAGACTCTATTTTATTTTATTTGTGTATAGTTCAATTAAAAAATTCTCTAGCTACAATTACTGCATACTTAGAAACTCACAGGTCTTATTGCTTGAAATGGTTTAAGGATGTGACCTAAATCATCACACCAAAAATGAAATGGAAAACAGAAAATTGTGAAATTGGTTAGTTTACTAAGAGAACAACAAGAGTACTGTGAAGATGTAACAGTAGCTTGTGGAAAAAAGCTGAATGTGGCAGATTAAAGAACTTCTCTATCTATGTAGTACAGTGATAACCACTAGTTCAAGGTTAGGGCATTCCTCACACTGTAAAAAGCAAGAGAGCATAAAAACCTCAAAAACCTCAGCATCGAGGAGACAAAACACAGCTTGGGTGTACAAACTCACACAAAGAGATGGCATCACGCGCTGCATCAGCAGCACAGACAAGCATTCAAGTTCCTCCAATGCAAGTATAGTTATTTGGATCTTATTGCCTCTCTGTGACTGTCGAAATATGTTGAGTACAAATGCTGAAACTGATTTCACAGTACGGACTTCTGTGTAAGTCAGAATAATCAGAATTTCTATTGCTTTTTTAATATATTATATATAAAAATATAATTATACATATAAAAATTGACATGTATATATATATGCCATAATATTGACATACATACATGTCATTTAAGCACGATTTTTTCCTTCAGTCAAGCAAATATCCCTTTTGGGTAATTTTTCTTTCTTTTTTTTGGATTAGGGAGAGCCACGAGCCTGGACGGGACACAACAACAAGAGAGGCCTGCAGCAGAGTGGTCCGGGCCGGGACTGCAAGAGGCAGCATTCGGACCCGGGAACCGGCCGGCAGGGCTCAGCTCAGCTCCTGTTGTCCCCAGGGATCACAGAGACCTCGTGGACTCCAGCACATGCCCCAGGGAAGAGCAAAGAGGGGCAGTGGATACAAGGACCAGCCTCAGTGCCCCCCAGCTAACAGCTCCGGTGTCTAGCAACAAACTGTAATGCTACTTCTAGGTATTAAAAGCACTACACACATTTTTCTACAAGTGTCGTGCAGGTCATATTCGTAATGTGCACTGCTCTCCAACTGGCATAACTTACCAAGCTTCAGCATGGCTTGTGTTTATGCTGTAGTTCTAACATTAACCATAAGTAACCATATTTTCAAGCTGTAGGATACATTTCAACCCAAATCCTGGAATACCACAGGAACATTATAGAGTGACAGTATTATCTAAAAATTATAGACTTT